GACTCATTCTGTGGAAGCCACATTATAAACCCTGATACCAAGTAGACAAATACAAGAAAACTACAGACCAACATCTCTTGATGAATGTAGAAACAAAAAATCCCAACAAAATGCTAGTAAATCAAATTCAGCAGCATATTAAAAGATTATACACCATGATCAAGTGAAATTTATCCCAGAAATCCAAGCGGGTTCAACATATGAAAATCGTCAATGTAATACACCACATTAATAGAAGAGGGGAAAAACATGTTCGTTTCTATTGATGTAGAAAAGCATTTGACAAAATCCAACACTTTTCATGATAAAAATGCTTAATAAACCAGGAGTAGAAAGGAACCTGCCAACATGATAAAGTCTATATATTAAAATCTACAACTAACATCATATCCAATGGGGAAAGACTGAACACTTTCCCCCTAAAATCAGAACAAGATAAGGATGTCTGCTTTTGCCACATATATTCAACACAGCATTTGCAGTTCCTGCCAGACCAATTAAAATAAAAAAAAATAATGAATAATATAATCAAAATGGAAAGGAAGAAATTTAAAACGTCTCTGATTTCACAACCATTAATAGTAGAAGCTCTAAAAATATGCAAATAAACCTCTTAAATTTAATTATAATATTTAGAAGTTTCCAGAATACAAAATGTAAACACACTAAATCAGTTGTTTTCTACCTATTAGCAATGAAAAATCTGGAAAAGAAATTAGAGAAATTTCATTTATAGTTAGTACCAAAGATAAAGATTTTAGAATAAATTACCAGGAGGAATAAGACCTGTACACTGCAAACTCACAAACATTGTGCTCAAAGAATTAAAGAAACTCAAAATAATGGGAATGCATCATCATAGTCATGAAACTGGAAGACTAATATCGTTACGATGACAATGCTACTCAAAGTGGATTATGTAGAAATCAAATTATGTTATTAAAATCCAATAACACTTTTTGGAGAAATAGTGGAAAAATCTCATCCTTCAACTTCATATGGAATTGGAGGGCGGCTCAGAATAGCCAAAACCAATCTGAAAAAGAATAAATTGTAGGACTCACATTTTCTTGTATCAGACTTAACCTACATAGCTAGTAATCACAAAAACAGCCCAGGCGGCACGGTGGCTCACGCCTGTAATCCTAGCTCTTGGGAGGCCGAGGCGGGCGGATTGCTCAAGGTCGGGATTCAAAACCAGCCTGAGCAAGAGGAGACCCCGTCTCTACTATAAATAGAAAGAAACTAATTGCCAACTGAATATATAAAAGAAAAAATTAGCCGGGCATGGTGGCTCATGCCTGTAGTCCCAGCTACTTGGGAGCTGAGACAGAAGGATCGCTTGAGCCCAGGAGTTTGAGGTTGCTGTGAGCTAGGCTGACGCCACGGCACTCACTCTAGCCTGACAACAAAGCGAGACTCTGTCTCAAAAAAAAAAAAAAAAAAAAAAACCAGCTGGATCTGGCACAAAGTAGATTATAGACCAATGGAACAGAATGAGACCAGAAGCTAACACACTATGTTAAATTAATTTTGACAAAGGTCCAAGACCAATCAAAGAGGGAAAGGACATACTTCAACAAATGGTATTGAAAACTAGATAGCACATGCAGAAGAATGAAGTTGGACCTTTACCTTACACCATATACAAAAATTAACTGAATTGTATTAAAGACCTAAATTAAAAGCTATAAAAACACTTAAAAAAATAAATGCTATAAATTCTTAAGGTAAAACATAGGAAAATCTTCATGATCTGGGATTTTGACATGTTTCTTAAACATTACATCAAAAGTACAAGAGACAAAAGTAACAATAGATACATTGACTTTATCTAAATTAAAAACTATTGTGGGTTAGCATGGTAGCTCGACGCCTGTAATCCTAGCACTCTGGAGGCCAAGGCGGGCAGATCATTTGAGCTCAGGAGTTTGAGACCAGCCTGAGCAAGAGCAAGGCCCTGTCTCTACTAAAAATAGAAAGAAATTAGCTGAACAACTGAAAATATACAGAAAAAATTAGGCGGGCATGGTGGCACATGCCTATAGTCCCAGCTACTTGGGAGGCTGAGGCAGGAGGATTGCTTGAGCCCAGGAGTTTGAGGTTGCTGTGAGCCAAGCTGACGCCATGGCACTCTAGCCCAGGCAACAGAGCAAGACTCTGTCTCAAAAAACAAAACAAAACTATTGTGCATCAAAGGACACTATTAAGAGAGTGAAAAGACAACACATAAAGTGGAAGAAAATATTTGCAAATCATATATCTGACAAGGAACTAATAACCAAAGTATATAAAGAGTACTACAATTCAACAACAAAAAGACAATCCAATTTTTTAAATGGGCAAAGGACTAGATAGACATTTCTCTAAAAAAGATATATAACTGGTCAGTAAGCACATGAAAAGCTGCTAACTAAAACTACAGTGACATATCACTTCATGCCTATGAGAGTGGCTATAGTTAGAAAAAAGAAATAACTAGTGTTGGTGAACATGTGGAGAAATTGGAAGCTGAGTACATTGCTGGTGGGAATGTAAAATGGTGCAGCAGCTGTGGAAAGCAGTTTGGCAATTCCTCAAAAAGTTAAACATATAAGTTACCTTGTCACTCACTAATTCTGCTAAGTATATACCCAAAAGAATTGAAAACAACAGCTTAAATAGATATTTGTACACCTGTTCATAGCATGATTATTCACAGTTGACAAAACATAGAAACAACCCAAGTGCCCATTAAAAATAAATGGATAAATAAAATGTGGTCTATACATATAATAGAATATCATTCAGCCATAAAAAGAATGAAGTACTGATACATGCTATTGATAAGGAAAAGCCCCCGCCCAGGGGCCCTGAGGCAAAAACCACTACTGATTGGATACATGTGAAGCTTATGGCTGACCCTACTAATCCCACCGTTAATTGGATATTGGTTGTGTGTAACCCCAAGAAGTGTATAAAACTGGAGAGAAATAAGGAAGCAGGGCTCAGAATTTGGTGTTATGCCCCTCTGAGCCCGCCTGCGAAATAAAAGCTGATTCTCCGACCCTCTGTGTGCCGCTCAGTTCTTTCGCTGGTCACTTGCAGCAACACTATAACGTGGATGAACCTTGAAAACATTATGCTAAGTGAAATATGCAAAAGGATAAATACTGTATGATACCATTGTATGAATTATCTAGAATAGGCAAATTCAAAGAGACAAAAGGCAGATTAGAAGTTACAAGTGGCCGGGCGTGGTGGCTCACACCTGTAATTCTAGCACTCTGGGAGGCCGAGGCGGGCGGATTGCTCAAGGTCAGGAGTTCAAAACCCGCCTGAGTGAGACCCCCGTCTCTACTAAAAAAATAGAAAGAAATTAATTGACCAACTAAAATATATATATATTAAAAAAATTAGCTGGAACAAGCCTGAGCAAGACGCCGTCTCTACTAAAAATAGAAAGAAATTAATTGGACAACTAAAAATATATATACAAAAAATTAGCCAGGCATGGTGGCACATGCCTGTAGTCCCAGCTACTTGGGAGGCTGAGACCGGAGGATCACCTGAGCCCAGAAGTTTGAGGTTGCTGTGAGCTAGGCTGACGCCATGTCACTCACTCTAGCCTGGGCAACAAAGTGAGACTCTGTCTCAAAAAAAAAAAAAAAAAAAAGCTGGGCATGGTGGCTCATGCCTGTAGTCCCAGCTACTCGGGAGGCTGAGGCAGCAGGATTTCTTGAGCCCAGGAGATTGAGGTTGCTGTGAGCTAGGCTGATGTCACTGCACTCTAGCCTGGGCAATGTCTCAAAAAAAAAAAAAAGTTACAAGGGGCTGGAAGGATGGAGGAATGAGAGTTATTGCTTTGAGTATAAAGTTTCTATTTGGGGTGATGAAAGGTTTTGGAAATAGGTGGTGATAATAGTTGCACAACATTGTAAATATAATTAATACCACTAAAGTGTGCAGTTAGAATGGTTAAAATAGCAAATTGTTACATATATTTTATCACAATTACAAAAAAGAGCTTGTATTACACGTTGGTAAGTACATCATTGGGATGATGAAATGATTTACCCACAGGATCAATGTTATAAGTAGCTTCCTTCTCAATTTAGCCTATTTAACCCAGAAAACACGTTTGCCATGAAACTGTAGTAAACTCTTCTATCAAAACATTGATACTTAACCAAAACAGAAAAGCAATATTTTGAATCAGAAATAGTTTTATTTTTATCAAGTAGTGTTACCTGAAGAAAAGCAGGTTTTATTAATGTGGAAAATAAGAAAACAGAAAGTTTTCTATTAGTTCTGGAAAGATTTCAGGTCTGTTTCTAGAAAGTTAAATGCCCTGATTTTTTTTTTTTTTTAAGTGACTGTGGTAAGCTAAACACTGGCCTCCTTTATTTCTATGTGCAAATCCCTGGAACCTATAAATGTTACTTTCTATGGCAAAAGAGACTTTGCAAATGTGATTAAGTTAAGGGTCTTGAGATGAGAAGATTATCTGGTGGACTTAATGTAATCACAAGAGTTCTTATAAAAAAGGCAACATGAGACTGAAACAGAGGGAAGGTGATGTGATGACAGAAACAGAGGTCTGAGTGATGTGGAGCCCAGAGCCAAGGAAGGTGTGCAGCTTCTAGAAGATGAAACAGGCAAGGAAACAGATTCTCCTTCTAGAGCCTCCAGAAGGAAAGCAGCCTCGCCAACCCATTTTAAATTTCTGATCTCCAGACCTATAAGATAATAAATCTGTGTTATTTTAAGCCATAAAGTTTGTTGTAATTTGTTACAGAAGCAATAAAAAACTAACGCAATGACTAATTTTACCTCCAAACTCATTGTTTCTCTTCCTTAAAACAGTTTTATCGCAAGAGCTGTTTTTATATTACAGTCATGCACCACTTAGCAACACTCCAGTTAACAACTGACCACATATGTGATGGTCCCATAAGATTATAATGGAGCTGAAAGATTTCCGTTGCCTAGTGACATCTTAGCTGTCCTAACGTCTAGTACAACACATTACTCACATGTTTGTGGTGACACTGGTATAAACAAGCCTACTGTGCTGCCAGCTGTATAAAAGTGGAACACACACAATTATGGGCAGTACATCATACTTGATAATAAGTGACTATGTTACTGGTTTATGTATTTATTATACTATACTTTGTATTGTTATTTAAAGTGTATTCCTTCTGCTTATTAAAAAAAATTTTAACTGTAAAACAGCCTCAAGCAGGTCCTTTGGTAGGTACTCCAGAAGAAGACATTATTATCATAGGAGATGATAGCTCAATGCATGTTAATTGCCCCTAAAGACCTTCCAATTGGGATAAGACATGGAGGTGAAAGTGAGTGATATTGATGATCCTGACTCTGTGTATGCCTAGTCTCATGTGTGTGTTTGTGTCTTGTTTATTATTATTATTTTTTAGAGAAGAGTCTGGCTTTGTTTACCCAGGCTGGATTGCAGTGGCTGCTCACAGTGAGATCATCACACACTACAACCTCAAACTCCTGGCCTCCAATGATCTTCCTGACTCAGCCTCACAAGTAGCTGGCATTACAGGTGCTGTGTCTTAGTTTTTAACAAAAGAGTTTTAAAAGTGAAAAAAAGAAATAAAATAAAAATTGAAAAATCTTATACAATAAGATGTAAATAAAGAATATGTATTTGTATAGCTGTACAATGTTTTAAGCTAAGTGTTATGAGTCAAAAAGTTAAAAAAATTAAAAAGTTCATAAAGTAAAAGAATTACAGTAAGCTAAAGTTAATTTATTATTGAAAATAAAAAATATTTTTAATAAATCTAATGTAGCTTAAGTGTACACTGTTTATAAAGTCTGAAGTAGTGTGCAGTAATATCCTAGGTCTTTGCATTCCCTTATCACTCACTCGCTGACTCACCCAGAGCAATTTCCACTCCTGCAAGCTCCATTCATGGTAAGTGCCCTATACAGGTGTAACATTTTTTATCTTTTGTACCCTTTCCATGTTTAAGTATGTTTAGATATACAAATACTTACCATTGTGTTCCAGTTGCCTACAATATTCATATAGTTGCATGTTGTACAGGTTTGTAGCCTAGGAGCAATGACTGTACCATATAGCCTAGGTGTGTAGTAGGCTGTACCATCCAGGTTTGTGTAAGTGTACTCTATGATATTTGCATAATGATGAAATAGCCTAATGATGCATTTCTCAGAATATGTCCTTGTTGTTAAGCAACGCATCACTGTAATCAGTTAAGATTATGAGTCTGAGAAGATTTGTAACCTTGATGAAGATGATGATATAGATAATACTTCCATTTACAATGCGCTTGCCGAATACAAGGCAAAATGCTGAAAGCTTCATATGCTTTATTTAAAAAATTTTTAGAACCTTTAGAGGTAGATATCATCTACAGATGAGAAAACAGTATCTATGAGGTTAAATAATTTATTTAGGTCATACTGTGGGGATGTAAATCTGTCTGTACTAAAAGAGAGTAGGCAAGTCAGGAGTTAAGGAGTTATTTTTGTATTTCCTGTGATAAATTAAGGGTAGTTATAAGCAGAGAAAAAAAAAGAGGTGTTGAATCGGGCAATTCCTTATATTGGTTGGTTCAGCATAGCTAGGCCATAATTTAGATGGAGTTTAGGAAAGCAATAGCCAACCAGCCATTTCTGTGTTGGGCATTTGAAAATCCAATGTTTATAAGCCTTAGGTGGTCTTAAAAGAAGAGTCTACTTTCTTAAAATTTCTGAAAAAAGAAAGTTCTCCATATTAAAACTTCTTAATAATGGACATTGCAACATTGCACATTAGGCACAATTATTACTTGAAGTTTTTTGTAATTGATATTATTTGTATAACTGAAAAACATAATGGATGTTATATATATACATTTTACAAACAATTCAAATCTGGAGGAGATTCTTTGAAATAAGAAACAGTAGTAATTCATACTGGGCTATTTGTATTTATTCTCTGTTTTACTTTTGAATACAAAAAAACTTTTTTAAGAAATTCAAAATTTTTAAAAGAGAGTCGATAAAAAACATTTGATGATTTGCAGGGGTTGATGAGGAATGGCTGGTATTGGAAACAATGAAGGCCTTTCTTGATTTTTAATGTTTGGCCTGATAGCTTCAGTGAAGTTTCTGCCTTTGACCAATTCCCAGTGATAAGGCATTTGTCCTTGACATGAGCAATAACTGGAGTATTTAGGATTAAATGAAATATTCAATGTGCCAGGGCAGAGGAGGTGAGAGGAATGTAAAGTGATAAGGTCTAAGTCCACCCAGAATGGCTGTTTCAGATAGTGCAATACAGCGGAGGAGAAGTTTGTCAGAAAGGAAAGGTACTGGGCAGGAGACAAATATGTGCCCATGTGAACCAACATCAAGAGCTGAAAATGCTGTTCTGAATCTTTATCCTAAATATGGAAATAAAATCTTTGTGAGAAAGTGAACAGTAAGTAGACATGTATTAAACCAATTTTGTGGCCGGGCATGTGGATCCTAGCACTCTGGGAGGCCGAGGCAGGAGGATTGCTTGAGCTCAGGAGTTCGAGGCCAGCCTGAGCAAGAGCGAGACCCTGTCTTTACTATAAATAGAAAGAAATTAGCCAAACAACTAAAAATAGAAAAAAATTAGCTGAGCACAGTGGCGTGCACCTGTAGTCCCAGCTACCAGGGAGGCTGAGGCAGGAGGATCACTTGAGCCCAGGAGTTTGAGGTTGCCGTGAGCTACGCTGATGCCATGGCACTCTAGCCCAGGCAACAGAGTGAGACTCCGTCTCAAAAAAAAAAAAAAAAAAAACCCAATTTTGCTTATTGACACATCTATTCATTCATTTATTCAAGAGCCATTTACTGAGTGGCTGCTTGGTAGTTTTGAGGCCTCAGAATCAACCCAAGGCAAACTTGTGAGGTAAGAAATTTCATTTCAATCCTCTCACCTCTTTCTGCTATGCTCTTTCTTGAGGCTTCAACCTTCTCTTTTATCCCTCAGGCTTTGGCGCTTAGAAACTAATAACATTAAGGCTTTAGTGAAGGGTGTGACAGGGCTGTTTAGGATAAAAGATGGTTGTGTTCAGAGGAAGAAAAAGAGTGTGTGTTGAGGAAAGAAATCACACCAAGGTCTTAGTGCCTGTCGATAGGTGGAATTACCAATTATCATGTCTTATATACTCCTTTTGCTTTCCTGTTGTAGTGATACACCTTGCTTTCAAAACAAGAAAAAAATACCAATAAAATACATATAAGAAAATAAATAATGAAAAGAATGTGATAACATTTTTTTCTAACATTTCAGTTTTTTTCTTTCTAATTCGTTTTCAGTCAATCAGGCCTGCTTTGCTTGTGAATGTTCTTTAAATTGTTTAAAAACTTCTGCAAATTAGCCAGCAGTTAATGTTTTCAGTTACTATGGACTTTTAAAACTTTTATGCACCATGCAAACAGCATAAGGGCTAGTATGAAGTAAAGAACATTTAAACTGCTTCAAAGTTTAAGTATTAAACATTTGAGTTGCTTTCAACTTTACCCAGTTATGAATAGAGCAGAGCAGATATAACTGGGTAATATTTTTAATCAAATACTTTGACTAAGTTATTGAGTTGCTTTGGGATCTTGAAGGATATATAATATACCATAAAGGAAAAGTAGAAGGTGCTTATGATAGAATAGATTAGGAGAACCTGTTTTGTTCCCAAGGGAACATCAGAAAAGACTCTGAAGAAGTGTCACTTCTCCTATCTCAATTAGTCTACAAGTGCAAGGACCAAATTATAGTCTGACAAAGTCAGATTTATTGATTCATTGAAGTGAGGGAGCTCACACACAGAACTGTGGGGCATCTCATCAAACAAAGAAAAGATAGTTATAATAGGACTTTGGGGAAGAGTGAAGTTTAGTGAAATTTAAATAAAGCAGTGTTTTGACAAACTCAAAGCAAATCAGGGTTGACATCAAGTCTGGGCAGGGTCCTGTTTCCTTGGAAACTATGTTTGTTTTATTTTTTTTTCTTTTGTTTTATTTTTTGAGACAGCATCTCACTTCGTTGCCTGGTCTAGAGTGCAATGGCATCATCATAGCTCACTGCAACCTCTAACTCCTGGGCTCAAGTGATTCTCCTGCTGCAGCTTCCCAAGTAGCTGGGACTACAGGTGGCACCACCACACACCCAGCTAATTTTTCTGTTTTTTTGTAGGATCAGGGTTTTGCCATGTTGCTCAGGCTGGTCTCAAACTCCTGGCCTGAAGCAATCCTCTGGCGTCAGCCTCCCAAAGTGCTGGGATTACAGGTGTGACCTACCGCCTTTGGCCCAGAAGCCTCTTTTCTTAAGCTCTGTGCCTGGCTTGAAAATTGAGGCTCCAGTCTGAGCAAGAGCGAGACCCCGTCTCTACTAAAAATATAGAAAGAAATTAGCTGGACTTAGCTTTTTTTTTTTTTTTGAGACAGAGTCTCACTTTGTTGCCTAGGCTAGAGCAAGTGCCGTGGCGTTAGCGTAGCTCACAGCAACCTCAAACTCCTGGGCTCAGGTGATCCTTCTGCCTCAGCCTCCCAAGTGGCTGGGACTACAGGCATGTGCCACCATGCCCGGCTAATTTTTTCTATATATATTAGTTAGCCAATTAATTTCTTTCTATTTATAGTAGAGACAGGGTCCCACTCTTGCTCAGGCTGGTTTCGAACTTCTGACCTCGAGCAATCCGCCTGCCTCGGCCTCCCAGAGAGCTAGGATTACAGGCGTGAGCCACCACGCCTGACCTGGACTTAGCTTTATACATATATATATTAATATATACACATATATATTTAATATATATATTAAAAAAAAATTAGCGGGGCATGGTGGCACATGCCCGTAGTCCCAGCTACTCGGGAAGCCAAGGCAGGAATATCGCTTGATCCCAGGAGTTTGAGGTTGCTGTGAGCTAGGCTGATGCCATGGCACTCTAGCCCGGGCAACAGAATGACACTCTGTCAAAAAAAAAAAAAGACAGAAAATTGAGGCTGATTCTCTGTGTCAAATTGTCGTAGAGCAGTGGTCCTCAACTTTTTTGGCAGCAGGAGAGACTGGTTTCTTGGAAGACAATTTCCCAAGGAAGTGGGGGGTGGGTGCTGGGAGAAAGTGGGGGGTGACGGTGGAGCTCGCAGCCATGTCCCTAACGTGCTGCAGACCACTACCGGTCTACACCCCAGGGGTTGGAGACAGCAGTCTTAGAGTCTCACTGCACTAAGGAAGACTAGTGACTTCACATAATCTTAGTAGTCTCAGAGTAGGGAGTCAAAGGTGGGGTATTTGTAAGGTTTGGGGCAGCTGGTTCTAAGGTGGGTCTTTCAATGTGAAGTATGGGGGCCTGATTGGGATTGGGCAAACTTTAGGACTGGGCAAAGTTTAGATTTGTTGGACAAGACAAGGGTTGTGACGAAAGGGTTATAAAGCCAGCCTTGAAGAGCAAACAGTTGAAAAGCCCAGTTAAGTGATATTGTTCCGAAAAGAGGGCTGTTTACCATGAAGAAGGCTCTATGAGTTATCTTTTTTTCAGACATATAGATTTTCAGAAAATTCCTTAAAAAGAATTATTTGTAACTTTACCTTCTTGGGCAAGAATTTCTTGGAATAGTAAAGTCACTTTCGGCAGTTCCTAATCTTATTAAGCTGTGTGGCTTTAGGTTGTTTCAGTTCTCATCATATCCTCTATAAGATTCATCTCATCCCTTTTATTTTCAAGTCATCTTTTTTTATTTTGCTATGTAAGTTCTGGTTCTATGTTCTTTGAACATTAGTTTCCTATAAAAGAGTATATGGAGGATATATGTATAAATGCCTGCATATTCAAAAATTTTCTTATACCCTTGCATGTAACTGATAACCAGAATTTCATTTAGGATTTTTGACTCTTAGATCTTTTCTCTCAAAGCTCTACAAGCATTTTTGCACTATCTTTTGACCTCTGTTATTACAGACCAGAAGTCTTATGCCAGTGTAATATTTTTCTTCTTTTAAAATGTGGCCACAAATTACCTACACATGCTACTGATAAGTTATCTGTGGGATCCCTTCCATTAATTCTCTGCACAAATTTTAATTTTTCTTCATGTTCTTCTGGGCAGCCTCTGATAGCATTTTTTAGATCTTTAACCATTGCTATGCAGAGTTGCTGGTAAAAAAAATTAACAGGGGACATAATCTATTCCCAGGGACTTTGAAGCAACTCTATAGTAATTGATTCTTTCCATCTGAAAGCTTGTAAGATATACTTCTTATGTTTGGAATTCAGATATCTCACAAGCTTTGGCTGCCTGGCTCAAAGAGAATATTTTGATTGTAAAACTTTGAGTCTTTCTTCAGCTTAGGAAAGTTTTGTTAGGTCATTAAATATGAAATGTCTGATTTTGAATCAAAAATGTACTTTATTATATATCAAACAAGAAGCAGTCAAGGTATGCCCCTAAACTATCAACACAGTTCTGCCATCTTAATGGTACCTTGTTTATGCCAGAAGCAAAGAAACCTAGAGAGTGGGGTGGAGATGAAATCACAAAAGGTTCTTGTCCATCTCTATTGATGTAGAAAGAAAAATAAAAAGAAAAAAGAAAGGAAAAAAAAAGAAATCACAAAATGTCTTTTCCACAGCTTGTTGAGAATTGAATATTTTCCTTTAAAAAGTGGTCCAAAGCCTAGAAGAAGTGGTAGTCAGTTGGGGCAAGGTCTGGTGAATATGGCGGATGACAGAGAGTTTCCAAGTCCAACCTCTGTAGTTTGAGCAGCAACATGTTTGTGTGACATGTGGTCAAGCGTTGTCTTGCAAGAGGATTGGCCAGTCTCTATTGATCAATCTTGGCTGCTTCTTCTCACACATCCTCATCATTTCATTCAACTGGTTGCAGTAGACATCTGCTGTAATCAATAACCAGGTTTCATGAAGCTATAGGGAATAATATCAGAGCTGGACCACCAAACAGATACCTTTAGCTTTTCTGGATGAATATTTGGTTTTGGACTATGTTTTTGCACTTCATCTTTATCCAACCATTGTGCCAAATGCTTGCAATTGGCACAAAGAATCTATTTTTCACCACACATAGCAATACAGGGTAGAAATGATTCGCCTTTATGGAGTGACAGCAGGCAAGTTCAAGAATATTTCTCTTCTGACGCTTCTTTAATTCATATAGAACCCATCTACCCATCTTTAGGTCAGGGTGTTCCAGTCCTCAGAAAACAGGAAACAAAAAGGGGGCCTGTCCCACTGTAGCAGATGCTTCGGGTGCCTCATGCCATATTCCTCAGCTGCTCGGATTTTAGCCAGGACAACTCCGTGCATGTGGCAGTATCCCACTTCAAGCACATACCCTGGCTTCTCTTGCTTTTCTGCTTCAAGGCTTTCTGTGAAACCTGGCAAGGCTGCTCAGAGCCTGCAGGCTCAGCTCTGAGGTTTGGAAGAATTAACACCCCTGGAGACAACTGGCAACCAATGGGGAACAGGACTCAGTGAATAAATGCTCCAGCATTCCTAACCTTTGATGGGTTGTTCTGGGCAGTTCTACACAGTTCACTGGAGAGGCCCCAGTGAGACTAAGCCCCAGTCGCTCACAGTGGTAACCAGCTCAATAAGGCATTCTTTTTTTGGCTTTTTCCCCTTCCCTGTCTCACTCCTTTCACTATCTCACTTCTGATTCTTAGGGTAACCCTCAAATAAAATTTCTGCTCTCAGCTCATTGGCAGATGCTCTGCCTTAGAGGAAACTCAATCAGAAACACCTACCACATATTAAGTATAGATCCTGAGCAAGAAGTAAGAGTGGTGTTACGGTCTGAATGTTTGTATTCCCCCTCCCCCAATTCATATTTTGAAATCCTAACCCCTGAGGACATAGAATTAGAAAATGGGGCCTTTACAAAGTTATTAGATCTTGGGGGCAGAGCCCTAATAAAAGAGATTAGTGCCCTTACAAAAGAGGCCCAAGAGAGATCCCCTCATCTCCTCCACCATGTGAGGTTAGAGTGAGAAGACAGCAGTCTATGAGGACATGGGCCATCACCAAACATTGAATCCACCAGTGCCTTGATCTTGGACTTCCCAGCTCCCACATTTCTGAGAAATAAGTTTTTGATGTTTATAAGCCACCCAGTCTATGGTATTTTGCTATAGCAACCCCAAAGGACTAAGACAGGAGGAAATCGTTTTGTTTAAAAAAGTCTTCTTTAGCTTCCCTCAAATCATCCGCTAAGCTAGCTGCATATCCCATGCAGATGTGAGTCTGTTCTTGCTCTCAGATGAGACTTTATAGTGAAAAGGATGATCTTGGCAGGACAGGACCATATTCAATGGCCCCTGGATATATATGGTCATGGGATGCAACACCTAAATTAAGAAGTTTTTTTTAAGTGCTTACATAATTTCTATTATCATCTTTAAAATAGTATTTAAAAGATGATGCATCATTTGTTAAATCTACCTTATGCTGTACAACCATTAAATTAACTGATTTTAATAGCAGGTTTAGATAGATGGAAAGATCAGGCATAGACACCACTTGGAAAAACAAGAGTTTACTTATCTGAAGAAGACAGAAGAAAGTCAGCACAATCAAGATACAAGGGCAGCATTTTATAAAACAGAACAAAGTGTGCAGCTTCCTGGTCCTAAAAGCCTCCCCCAAAAATGTATACTTGCAGATGATAATTTCTGTTTAGGTCATGTGTGAAGGTCTGTGAAGGTCATATCAGATGCTCTGCAAGCAGAGAAGTTTTTCCAGGCCTCGATACACACACACACACACACACACACACCCACGCACACACACACCCCTACATATATACAACCATTGCTGGCATATTCCAGCAGAGTCTTTAGGCATAAATAAAGTCCTCCTCCACCAAGCTCAGGTTCTCCAGTCTAGTGTAGCCTGAAATCACCCCAAGGAAACACAGCAGGGGTCAGTTTCCCAAGCCTCTGTATGAGGCATTTGAGCACGTGGTTAAACCAGCTGTAAGGTTTATGTTCCCATAGCAGCCTGCATTATTTCCTGCAGTACTTACCATAATCAGAAATTAACGTCTATGAAGACAGGGATTTTTATCAGTTTTACACATTTCTATATTCCCAATGCCTAGAACAATTCCGATACATGGTAATACCTCAATAAATATTTGCCAATCAATCAATTAATTAATTGGACATTATATATCTAATGTATCTCTTCTGCCCTGGACCATAGGCTCCACAGGAGGAGGGATTTTCTACATTGTTTATTTCTATATCTTCTACACCTAACACAGTATCTGGCTCATAAAGGTGGGGTTGCATACATTTTTAGTAAGTAGTAAATGTTTGCATAAATGAAATTCAGTAAAATCCATTCAACTAAAACTCAAGTAAAAAATAATTACATATTCTTAGTTCAAGACCTCCTTGAAGATAGACCTTTAGTGCTAAATAATCATTCAGTAACATGTTCTCTCAGCTTCTAGGGCCATTTTGCTTATCTCAACAATATGTATTCAAAATGCCCAATTCAATCTTGTCTTTGCAGAGAAATTCATTTTCTCTCTTGGATGATCCCAAAATATGCAAGAAAATACATATTTTTCTCTTCTCCACATTCTTTCATAAACTGGTATTGACTTTTTAACTTTTATTGATGGTTCGAAATGTATAATAAAAATGAAAATGCTGACGAGGTCTTTGGCTCTAGTAACAAGAAGTATTACAGATGACTCAGAATAAAGCTGCCCTTCCTTACATTAAAATTCATATCTTGGAAAATGATGTAAATGGTTGACTGGAGAGGAAGATAATTTATCAATTTATGTGGTTGAGGCATATTCCATGATCATAACTTTTCTAAAATTAAATCTGAACATATAACAATTTGGGACACCTTAATGCTAACCCTTATTGCTTGGCTAAGCCCGTTTTATCAAATTGGAACTCTAAAATTACCTAACATCATTTATCCCAATGATATAACATGTCAGTGGCTTACTTTGCATCATTTATTTTCATAATTCATCCTTCATGAAAAATATCATCTCAAGTGTTTATCATAAAGTGAGTGAAACTTAAAGGCAAAGCAAAATAATAAAATTAGAATTAAAGAGAAATAACTCAGAGGATGGGAGACATTGATTCAGGAAGAAAAAGTGATGGAGTTACAAGAGCATCTGAGAAGGTTAAGTTGTTAAATCTTGATAAAGTCCAAACTCATTCTGCATATGTAAAAAAGTATTTGCATTATTTACATAGATATGTTCTGGGATATGAGCAAAGTTGGAAGTCACTTCGGAGGAAGATGGGCATTCCAGGGTGAGTGTCTTAGAGTTCTCTGGAGTAGAAATGTTGGGAGGGTCTCATAGAAATATGGGATATTTTAATTGTCATTGATGATTTCCTCTAAAATAGGCTGTATTCATAATCTTAAATCTTTAATCCCAGAAAGGGAGAGGTGGTTCAGTTTTAAGCTACATTATTTCAATCAGCCACTCACGAATAGTCCAGTCTTATATCTTCCAAACCATACAAAGTTCACAGGGTATTGGGGTACTGGAGGGTGGTTCCTTTGACCTGTCCCCCAGTCCTTCAAGGGGCTGGCTCCTTCACTCTAATCTCTCAATGCCACTGTTCCCTTGGTACCCTTCCTCTCCTCTCCACTCTTTGCTTCGCAGCCTGGGGTTCCTTTAACCCTGTGATTCTCACCCCATCCTATGTATTAGAGTCACCTAAGGAGTTTTTCAAATATACTAATGCCTGAGTCCCACCCCCAGAAGGTCTAACTCATTTGGTCTGGAATTAAGCCTTGGAAATCTTTCTTCCCCCTTAAAATTCCCCCAGGGTGAGTCTAATGTGCAGTCCAGGTTTGAGAACCACTGCCCTCCTCTGCCCCTCTCACCCAGGGTCCCACTTCTTTAACTAGTTAACCTTGCTAGCCACTCAGTTCCACAGGCTCCACTCTGGGTGGGGTGGGAGCCACTGGGTGCTCCTGGTGGAGTAGTTTCCAAACCAACAGGTTTCTCATTTTGACTGCACAGAACTCCTCTTAGCATTTTTTCTCTTCATTATTGTGTTGAAACCACCACTATTTCTTCAACTACCTTGAATTGCTTGATCAAATCTACCTTTTTATTACCCTCAGCACATGTTGGTATAGCTTTTGAATCTGATCCTGTACTAACTTGACAAGCATATTTCTAGGTCATGTAAATCTGCCTTCATTTAGTCCTTTGTAATTGCCCCAGGCGTTTTGAAAGGGAAACATTGACTTTCTATTCTATAACTAAGAAACTGAAGCCCCACAACAAGGTTGCTTGTTTATACATACCTGAATTTTAATGACTGTATTTGTAGCCTTTGGATTGGCCCTTAACACATGGACTGCCATGTGAGTTGTATTTAACTTAGGCTAGTTTTGACCCCGGGGCCTCGTGAAGCAAAACCCTGCAGTTGGTTCATGAAAATCTTACTTGTTGATATTTTTATTGTTACAATTAATATTGACAATTTAATTCTAAAGACGTGGATTGTATTACATATAACTCATGCACAGAAGACAATGAAAAACAGCAAACTGGAAAGGACCATTTTATTTTAATAAAACACTATGACCCAAGGGGGAAAAATTTTTTTTCTAGTGTGGCAGTGCGTTAAAGTTAAAAAGTTTAATTTGTAAGTTCTTTTCTAGTGTTCTCCTGAACTCCCTAATAAGTCACCAGCTGCGTTTATTTAGAATATAAACAACTGAGGGCTTCTTCAGATATAATTGTCAAAAATTTAAACAGTTAATGTGCTGTTGGTTTATGTTACCTTTTTTGCTGTTGTTATTGCTACATAGTTCCTGTTTCTTTCATTTACTGAATTTAACTTTTGTAATAAATCAAAGTTGTGTTTTTTGTTGTTGTTGTTTTGAGTCCTGCCATTCAAATCAAAACTGGGCTAATTTGTTGAAAAATGTCTATTATCTTAAGAAGAGAATTGTTAGATGCAGTCTAGAAGAAAGAACTTGACGTTCATTGTATCCATCATGAAAAAGCTCTTTTCTATTTGTTTGCTATCAGAAAGTAATAGGATACATGCCAAGGCCAAGGCTTTAAATTAAAATAAAGCCCTTGGAGTTTTGCATTTGGAAATGCACAATTCAGTCTTACAGTAGGTTTTGGGGGGAAGGTAGTGGAAAAAAATCCACTTGGTGGTTCTAGGGGACCTCAACCAAGTTACTTGCCCTCTCTGAGCCTCAATTTCCTCATCTATAAAATGGAGTAATATTGGCTATCTTGCAGGATTGTTGTGAGAATTAAATAAAGAATACTCCTAAAATACTTGATATTTAGCAGGCCCTCAATAAATGGAAACTAATGTTATTGTTTATAATAAAAATAACATTGTGCAAGTTGATAGTAATAACTTTAAAATTGTGTATTCATACAGTATAGTGAAGGCAGTTTTGCTTATAATTACAAAGCTCACAATAGTAAGCAGAGTTCTAAATCCTAAGAAGCAAAATAACATCAGGGAACGTGTCAGTGCATTCGAGCTACTTTGACCTTTTATCAGTTTCTGGAAGACATCCATTTCCTTCTTACCTCCCCACTTTTGTATTTCCATTCCCTTTGGCCTGGAAGGCTCTTAACCAAGTTGTTTATGTGGCTGATTTCTTATCCTATGGTTGTCAGCTTAATGCCAACTCCTCAGAGAGGCCCTTCTTGATCATCTTAGCTCAGTTAGGTCTTCCCTTCCTCTAGTTACTCTCCCAGCATATTTCTTTCAGAAAGGTTAGTACAACCTGAATTACTTTATTTACTTGTTTGTTTGTTTACTTATTTACTATCAGTCTCTCCCATAAGTCTCAAGGACATGGCCAAGGACCACATCTATCTTCTACACTGAAGACCCACTGCCTAATACAGTGCCTGCTACATGTTGAATTGTCAATAAATATTTGTTGAAACAATTGATTAATAAATATTGTTACAGTCCTCCATTTTATATTAATAGATGAGGAAGCTGTGGTTAAAATGTGACTAATGTCATAGAAATAGTAGGAAAGCCAAGCTTCCAAGGGTCATTCCAGGGCCCTTGTCAGGATGTTAAATCCTGTGTCAGTGCTACCGTATCAACAAACTGTCCCTTTCCCAACTTCCTATTCCTATTTGGGATCTACTTCCACCATATTCTTTGGGTTCCTGCTGGTGTAAGTCAGCCAGATCTTGCAGCTCCTTTGCCGTTTAGACCTCTCCTCCCTTTTCAGACACTGCACTTACCCAGCTGGGCCATACTGAAACTTGATCCTGGTACTGCCTGGTTTCCAGGACAGAAGTGGGGGCAGATTTCCAGCACAGCCAGCATTGTTTTTTAAGACACCTGACTTAATTGAAGGTTCATGCAAGGAGAGGGTCTTCTATCTTCCGACAAGGGAGTGGGCCACCCCTGTAGGCTAAGATGCTCAGGAGAAGCCAGAAGATCCATATGCTTAGCCACCTGTGTCTAACAGGTATCCCCATCCTGAATCTCCCCATCCTACTCCTTTCCTGTCAGGACCCTGACTCTGTTGAAGGGAACTTGCCCAGGCTAAGAATTCACTTCTCCGAATCAGCCAACACCTGATTGATATGGAGGCACAAAACTGTGGTACTACTTATGCTTAATTAAGATGTGTGCCTGGTCTTCACTTCAGTCTGCCCTCTCGCTGCCAGTGATGAGGGACAGGGGCTTTTTAAAGGCTTCCAAGGAGGCCCTTTGACTCCCACACTTGGGTTTCAACTGGTCTTAATTGATCTGATCCTGTCATCTATACTTCTCAGTGCATCCGGATGCTTGGGAATAGCCTCCCCACTCAATAATCTTTCAAGTTATTCTTTCTCCTGTACTCTTAAATACTAGAAACATCTACTTATATTCTGTCCTGGTTCACCAGAAGTGGAAATATTAGCAATTGCATTATAGCTGCATGCCAGAGACTATCTTCTATCAAGAGATTCTGACGGATCTGCTGGTGAGTAAGCAAACTCCAGAATCTCATCCTTAGACTCAGACTTATAGGACTGCTTCTAGTGTCAATTCTCTTAGGTTGGGCCCTTGAACCTGACCTAGAGACCTAGATTCCTATCCAGTGACTGGCTGAGGGAGTGCTCTCAGAAGATATCTGAAGGGGAGGAAGGGATGCAGAATAGGACAAGAAAAGAAGCCAGAAAAGATGCAGGATTAGCTGAAGTCTAGCTGCAGCCTGATCCCACAGAGAGTTCTGGAACGTGAGTGGTCCCACAGTTTTGTACCTCCTGTGTTGGCTGTGAGCTACCCCTGGAAGAAAGGTGTAATCTCCTAGGCATTTTTTGGAATTGTTGGCTGGAAGGCAATCCTCAGGGGAAGAGTATGAGCTGTTAGGAGCCAACACTCTCAGCTAGGGTATGGGTGTGCCAGTCTAGAGAAGGGGTGCTAGGTAGGGCACCAGCATCTTCAATACAGATCTACTTCAGTAGGAAGAACACAGAACCCAGAAAGAAGGAGTCAGACACAAGAAGAAATGGTGAGGAAAGAAATTTATAAACATCTGGGCATATCTAAATAAACATTCACAAACAATAGTAACAGGAGATGTAACTTGGAGATGGGGGTATAACTCAAAGGTGGAATTTAAATAATAAACATCAATAGGGAATATGAGAATTAGAATTACAGGTTTCTAAAGCCCTTGTATCTTTGAGGTGAAGGGTAAAGATATTCATTCAATTTAGACTTCATTATGTCAAATTACGCTTGTTAAAAATTTAACAGAGCTCCCAGGTGTAGGGAGTAAATTAAACACATGCATCAAATTTGGTCCTCCCCAAATCCAATTAAAATTACAGTGAGTTTTTTAAAGGCCCACATGGGAGAAGAAATGACAATAACAAAATTTTGGAAACTTGAAAGATGATGGATGAGTGATAAAAGACTTAGCAGACTCCCAAATTTAAATTACTAAGCCAGCAGCAAGAAAGCCAAGAAGCAACGTGCTTTACACTAAAGATTCTCAAAGTCTTAGGAATTGGCAACATCAGATCCTTCTATAAGTGGGGTGAAGAGGAGGTTCATTGGAAGTTTATTTAACAAACAGCTCACTAGATCCCTTCTGTCCATGAGAAGCTACACTACAGCTTCCCTTTCCCTGGAGGGCATATTCGCAGGGGAAAGTAAACAGGGTTCTGTTCTGGGGATCCCAAGCAAGGTTGAAGTTGGGGGCCCATTACTGAAAAAAAGAGATTAAGAAAACGTATGTCTATGGAATGCCAAGCCCTCTCCACCCCACCATCTTGCTCAACCTAGCTCCAGAATATGTCTGAAGAGATCCAACTTAGGTGACTAGGCAAGCCTTGGAAGGGAGGTGTAAGAATAAAGGAGTTTAAAAGAATAAATGGATATGTGTGACAGTTTTAAGTGAATAAACTGATTCCAAGAAAGACAAGGGCTCAAACACTGCAGGACCATGATGACCTTGAGGAAAAGGAAAGGAAAGGAAATAAAATACTGGCTGGGTCTTGGGTGCTAGCCAATAGGTGGCGCTGTCTGCACAAATACCAAGGTTGCTGTTGGAATAGCAAAATGGTGAAAAAGAAAACTAAAGTGCATGTAATGAACCATTCATATAATTCATATAAGGGCCTTTGCTAGCTAAGTGTTCATAACTAGAGAATTACATATATTTCAGTATTCAATATATCACCCAAGATTTAAATATTTCAATATTCAATCTATACAACCAACACTTAATTAGTACTAATGATTTGCCCCTATTGAGCAAAAGGAATTATGGAGTGAAATAATTCCGAACCAATGCCACAATTTAAAAAAAACAATCTGTAAAAGTACCATGTGGCTATAAAATTTTCCATATACCACTTGATATTTATTCAATTGAACATCAGATATGCTTTGTCCCAATTTCCAACATTCAAGGTAAATATTTTTATTCTATTTTATTATTTTTCTATTTTGTTTAATCACTAAAATTGTTATTGCATATTTTATCATTTTAAAAATAGAGGATATTTCAATAACTTTAAAGGTTAAACACATTTTTTGCTGGCCAGTCTGGAAAACTAAACAAGCATGAAAAAAATAGGAAAAGATACACCAGAATAAATAAGCAAAATTGAAAATGGTTTTTGATTACTATTTTTACTCACAAGCTTTATAGAAATATTTGATTGTCTCAAATCACTATGTATATAACTGATCACAATTTAATAAAGAGATAGGTTTAATTAAATATATGTATATAGAAAAAAAAAGACTGACAAGAAAAAGATAAGTAATTCTTTCTGGGTGATGGGATTAGTCCTTTTTCTAAATAACCTAGAATGAATATATATTATTCTTGTATTATTAATTGGGTTTGGGCGGGGATTGTTTTTAAATTAAAACAGTGTGTTTGTAAAATTGGACCAGCATTGTCAGGAAGGATCAACTGTCAATGTCCTAATCTATTAATTAGTGTCCTTACTATGAACACTGTGAGAATTGTAGGTACCTATGAGAGTGTTCACTACTGAAGGAATAAAAGAAGTATAATGTAAGAAAATGTTCTTCCATCCTAAATTGGGTAATGATAAGTGTTGAAAGGAGATGTGTACTTGGCAGATAAGACCTCCAGGAAGAATTTAAAGACTGGCTGCAGAGGATAACTCTGGAAAAGGGATTTTAATAATGAAAAGGAATATGAATTGTTTTAGAGATACCATGACTAGAAAACATGGGGAGCATGTCAAACAGAAGATGAGGACAGGCATGAATGAAGTACTTTGCTTTCAATATGACAAATGTCTGAGACAGAAAATGTCTCCCAGGACAAGAAAACTACTCAATCTAGAATAAGGAAGTAGGTTACAGAGAGAATTATTTAATCAATGAAGTGAGCGGAAGACCTAGGATCTAGTGTCTTTTGTCTCTAAGGAGCTAAAAGAAATGGCTCTGGACATAAATTTAAAGTAGTAGTAAGGATGGATCAGAAAGACAGACAAACTAAAATTAAGAGTCACACCTATAAAATACCTGAATACATATTAATTTTCACCAAGCTAAAGTGAAAAATGAAACGTCTGTTACTGTCTGTGCTAACTTTGCATGTGTGGGGCATGGTGCCTTGTGGATGCTGGGCCCTTAGGGCCATGAGGCTGACAACATGGAGAAGGGGAAGATTGGAGGAAAAGGAGTGAGAGACGTCTTGGTAAATTTGGTCACTTGCTGGGATTTGTGGGGAAAGAAAAGTTTCAGGGAATTAAGTAAAGAGCGCTGAAGTTAAGAGCATGGGGCTTCAGGGAGTCATTAGCATTGAGAACCAGAAAGATGCCCACAGTAAGAGCTCACTGAGACTTCCCAATCTGAGATAACTGCAGGACAGTAATTTTCACATTCAAAAAAAGCTTTCTTCCTGCACTTACAGGGATCGTTTTTTTGGAAGCAGATTCTGAAGGAGAGGTGAAAAAAAGAAGGCATGCCCTGGAGGTTTGGAGGAAGAACTGCAAGCCAGCGTCCTCAGCAAGACCTGTACCAGCCCCAAATCACCACCCTTTGCTCCAGTGGGTAGGAAGTTACTTAAGGTGTGGGAGCAGCATGAGTGACTACAGATGGGAGGTTATTATCACCATCTCTATTTCCTGGTATCCCCCAGCGTTCTGAGAAGGATATAGTAGCTGCTGTCTCTCAACCAAAGAAACTGATGAGGGTAGTAGGAGTTTGCTTTGGGGAAAAGTCTGAACACTGGGACTCAACAGATGTGGAAGGTAGAGATCCGAGGGTACAGTCAAAATCTTCACAGCCTTGAATAGTATGGACAAGGAGAAAAATTCCACTCCCCAAATCATAGAATAACATGATGAACGGGTATTTCTAGAAGGTTGCAAAAAAATTTTGAGTAAATAAAGTGAAAGCAGTAACTTTAAGAAACTCCCTACTAGGCCGGGCGTGGTAGCTCACGCTTGTAATCCTAGCACTCTGGGAGGCCAAGGCAGGAGGATCATTTGAGCTCAGGAGTTCAAGACCAGCCTGAGCAAGAGTGAGACCCTGTCTCTTCTAAAAATAGAAAGAAATTAGTTGGGCAACTAAAAATGTATAGAAAAAATTAGCCGGGCATGGTGGTGCATGCCTGTAGTCCCAGCTACTCAGGAGGCTGAGGCAGAAGGATTGCCTGAGCCCAGGCGTTTGAGGTTGCTGTGAGCTAGGCTGATGCCACAGCACTCACTCTAGCCTGGGCAACAGAGTAAGACTCTGTCTTAAAAAAAGAAAAGAAAAGAAAAGAAACTCCCTACTATATATAGTAGTGCACACTGAATATATATATTAATTTAGTGCATACAATATGACAAGAGCTGGGAATAATTAGTCCCTGCCCTCATGGGGCACATGTTCTAAATGGGATGGTGGATATAAAATAATTCCACAAGAAAATAAATAGGTCAGTTGTGGGAGATCAGACAAAACAGAAGAAAATAAAAAGGCCATAGTGGCTATGAAAGAAAATCTTTATAAAATGTAACAACATCTTAAATATGTTGCCATCAATTTCCTTATTAATAGGTTTTAATGCCTCCAGCTTTCTCTAGGAGTTTCCAGGTTTACTAGAAATAGATGGTGTGTGAATTTTTAGATTAAAAATGTTTCAGTAGAGGTTTATTACTTATTATATCCTTTTCTTCCTTGAAATAAGTGATTATGAGGCAGAAATTCAGGACAAAGGAGCTGGAAAATATTCATGAGACTCAGGAACAAGGCTATTACTCCAATTGCAAGGTTTCATTATAAACAACTTATATATAGTTCAAAGTTATCACATCTGTAAAATCAAAGATGCTGCTTACTTGGCTGAACCCAATCAATATTTGTTTACCATTATTTTAGTTATTTTTCATGTAGACAGGCACTTTATTTCTTAGAAGAAATAACTTTCCATAATGAAAACAATTTAATTGTGAAGTGAAATGGTTTTATTTAAATCAGTCTTCTCTGGTTATTGAACATTTCATATGAATAAATTAATCTTCATGCACATGATGGTTTATCTGAAATAGCTTCTCAATTCTTGAAAATGCCAAAGGCATTTTTTTCTTAGCATAAAAATACTAAAGGCATGTTGCCATCACATGGTTTATTAGCAGAATAGAAAAATTAATCTTATTCTAAGCAAAAGCAGAAATATAATTAGCTGAACCAAGAAAAATGTGACATTTGCCTATGAACTCTTCATTCAGATAATATATCTATTTTGGGAAATCATAAGACTGGAGCAAGACAAAAATATGAAAAGATATTAGGCTTCTCTAGTTATTGTTAAGTATTAGGAAATGAATGTGGCTTTTTTGTGACTTTTTCAAGATCTATATAAAAAGAGTTAAAAGTGTATAAGAAATTTAAAAAGCTATGTTAGTGATTATTTGCAATTGTTTGTTTCATAGAAAACAGATAGGAGTGTCATTGTAGTTGGGGTTATATCAAAGACTGATTATACCTGATTTCTCCTCATGCCCTCACTCTTCTTCAGCTCTACACTGCACACAGTACAGAGTTTATCTTTACCACGTGCCCCTAGAAATCCCGTTTCACTTTACTCAGAGCCAAGACACAACTTGCTCCAAAGCTTTAAAAATTTAAGAGCTGACCAGATGGTGGCTCAAGGCTGCAATCTTAGCACTCTGGGAGGCCAAGGTGGGAGGATTGCTTAAGGTCAGGAGTTCGAAACCAGCCTGAGCAAGAGTGAGACTCATCTCTACTAAAATAGAAAAATTAGCTGAGCATGGTGGTGCGCGCCTGTATTCCCAGCTACTGGGGAGGCTCGCTTGAGCCCAGGAGTTGGAGGTTGCCATGAAATATAATGATGCCACTACACTGTAGCCTGGGTGACAAAACAAGACCCTGTCTCAAAATAAAATAAAATAATTGTGCTTAAATTTTCATTTGGGTCTAAATTTGCTAGGCCAGAAGGTCTTTTGTTTTAATTTTCTCACATTGCAAATATTTACCATGATTAAGACATTAAAAAGGCTGCCCCTATTGTAGATTACCCTACTTTTAAGATAAAGTAAAGACATTTTCCACTGTGGAGAGAGCTATTGGTAAGATTTCATAATGTGTTGGGTGGAAAAATTAGTGTCTGAAATGCCTTTCACGTATGTGTTCAGCTTTCTGCTTGTGTGTGTCTGTGTGCATGCTGAACATAGAAAACAGTCTAGCTTAGAAGAAAATGCACTGACAATATTAAAAGTGATTATTTCCAAGGACTGAGATTATATGGGAGTATTCTTTCCTTCAATATGTTCCTCTTTATTTTTCTAGATGTTTTTCAGCAAGCACATCTTATTTCATAATGAGAAAAAAAAATAGTTATATTCCCAAATATGATTGAACACTTCATATGAGAACAGTACCATAGTAAGTAATTTGGGGAATAAAAAAATAAAACTATCTTCCTTCCCTTTTGGATTTTCAATAAGACATAAATAAATCAAAAGTATGTGACAATATTTTTATTGCCTGTTATAACTCTCATTTAACTTCACATGCCTTATTTCCTTTAATCCAAAGATATCGAATATATGTAAATCCACTTGCTGTTATATTATTCAATAGTTGTAAATAACATTGATGATAAACATGCAGATTCATACTTTATAATAGTAAGTTACAAACACAAGATAAAAATAGTCAGACCAAAAGCTATGCTTAAAGATTAAATGGGAAGCAGTCTAGATAGTGATAATTTTTTTCTACCATCTAAATGTACTAATATGAGCATGTATCCTTCCCATAATGGGAGGGGAAAATGAACTTTTAATGATTTTTAACATATATGACAACCAAAGAATAATTCTGTACTAACTTTGGGATACTGATATGCAGTGTAATGGGCGTTTAGTGAAAGGAGAGACCGCTGTGAGATAACGAAGCTAGAGAGGCTTCAAGAAGCAACGCAGGGCTCCCTAGGTGCTTTGAAGGAAGGGCAAGGATTTTGAAGAATGTGAGAGGAGGCCAGGTGCAGTGGCTCATGCCTATGATTCCAGCACTTTGGGAGGCTAAGGTGGGAGGATCACTTGAATCCAGGATTTTGAGACCAGCCTGGGCAATATAATGAGACCCCATCCCTACAAAAAAAAATGTAAAAAGTAGCAACTGGGTGTGGTGGCATATGCCTGTAATTGCAGCTACTTGGGATCTGAGGCAGGAGGATCACTTAAGCCCGGGAGTTCAAGGTTGTGGTGAACTATGATTACACCACTGTATTCTAGTCTGGGTGACAGAGCAACACCGTGTCTCAAAAAAAAAAAAAAAAAATGTGGAAAAAATTCTCTCAGGCCCAACACACCTATAATCCTAGCTCTCTGGGGATCTGAGGCAGGAGGATCACTTAAGCCCGGGAGTTCAAGGTTGTGGTGAACTATGATTACACCACTGTATTCTAGTCTGGGTGACAGAGCAACACCGTGTCTCAAAAAAAAAAAAAAAAGAATGTGGAAGGAGGGCATTTTAGGAATAACTTGTACAATAACAATTAGATCTGGTCCATTTGTAAAATAGGATAATACAAATTTGCTAATGGGATGACTATGAGGATTAAGTGAGGTGGTACACCCAGCATCATTCCTGAATGAGAAATGCTCAGGAAATAGTAGACATCACAGTGATGGTGATGGTGAGAATAGAGAAATGGGAAGGACTCAAGACAGAATCCAAAGGAATAAATGGCAAGCTTGTTAACAGTCTGGTTCCTTGAATGGAAATAAAGTGCCAAAGGGACTCCGTTGTTTCTCATCCAAGAGATCAGAAGAGTGCCGGCATCAGAGTAGGAACAGGCTGGAGAGCTGGTGTGTAAGGGGAGGTGATGAGACAAGTTTGGGACACTTGGAGTTAAATGTTTGACAGGTAAGGGAAGAGTGGACAGTGAGATGAAGAACATCAAGTGGCATCATAGAAGCAAGAGGGGGAAGATGTTCAGGAATGTAATCAACTGTTCAGCCAGGGGAATCCAGGGAGAGTTGATTAAGTAGAAAGAGAAGCCACCCAACGCTATTCTAATTTGTATCACCACTTGAAGCATCTTGCTTTCTCTCTTCTTGTATTTAATTGGAATACACTATGATGATCCCAGTTCATTCTCTGTTCAATTTGATGCTCTGCTTAAAGGAACTTAAACTTGATACCTGAAGACCAATTGCTAGGGGCCATTAAATTTATTTCTCCCCAAGCACTGTATATAGACAAGCAATTAGATGAAGGAAAAGAAGTTCAGAGTCATTTATTAGGGAGTGAAAAGGAAAAAAGCATTCAAAAAAAGGCTGTGCAAGTTAACCTACTTAGATGAAGGAAAACATAGTGTTTAATTCTCAGAAGCAAATGGAAGCCTCGGTCCAAGTCTTCCTTTTCTTTGCCAAAGCTTTCTCATTTAGGGATTGAGAAGCTGAGTTGAGTTAGATGTTAAATAGGAAACAAAAAGGAAAGCTAGAGACATTTGGAGGGGCAGCTTCTCCTATAGCTCCTAAAGCCTGGCTGAGGTGCTGTCTATTGTGCATTTGCTCTCTGCCAGGCACGGCGCTAAGCCTTTCACATCATTAACCAATGTGATCACCCAGCAACCCCGAGAGAGGCAGGCTGATCATCCCAATTGCAGCTGAGCAAACAGGGTGAGCAAGGCCAAGCAGCTTGCCCAAGGCCCCCCAGCAAGTAAGTGGTGCAGCCTGCATCCCCATCAGGTGGTCCTGCTAAGAAAGCTGGCGTTTTCCATCACCCCGCAGTGCCACTGCCTGTGCTATCAAACTCGCCTCAAAAGAAACTATCTGCCTTCTCAGAAGCTCAGGAAGGTCCACGAGATGCCTGCCACCAAAGAACATAAAGTTAAAAATTAGCCAGGAATAAACTATTGGCAGATAATGTGGATTAATTTCAAGAGCATTATGCTAAGTGAAAGAAGCCAGACACAAAAAACTACCTGTATGATCTAATTTAGGCAAAATTTTCAAAA